TCAAAAGACAGGCAAATCTGATAACATCTCTCATACTCTAAACCAGCTTAAAGAACTGGAATGCAGCATTCAAGAACTTGAAGAAGGACTTGAGTGCTTGTCTAGGCGATTGATCAGAATGCGAGTGTCCCTTCTCAACATCCTCAACAATTAGATTAAACAATTTTGATCCTATCATCGTTGTAAATGAAAGAAATATACTTGTATTATTCCAGTATTGATACTAAAGTATAGACACAAACAGATTTTTTCCTCATATTTCATCTTTCCTCTTAATTCTCCAAAGCATTTACTTTTACTGCTATGATTTTTGGTGGATAACGCTTCTTGATTTTTCTTTATCAATTAAAGAAATCAATATCTTAATTGATCAAACTCTGTTAAAGCTGTCAAGATTCCAATTGTCTCCAGGAGGATGACATTATTGAAGATTATCAAAAGATGAGATCCAATTCTTTCACATGTTTAAGTGATAAAATATGTGCTATCTTTCTGATATTAAGGACAGCATCTGAAATATTTGATTAGATAAATTGATCAAAACTTTGGTGCACGTAATTATACTTTCCTGCACATGTATCAAGATCATTTAAAAGCCTTAAGAAGCGGATCGAGGTCTTTTTTATGTCACCATTTGCATAAACTCATGAAATTATAGACCAAACAATATGTTAATCAATTGCGTATGGATAGAAAAGATAAAATTAAAAAAATCCCTGAATGATTGCGCACGGAGATGGCCTCCAAGAGAGGAGCAGGTCCTGCTAGATATTTAGACGCTTCATCTTTGTATATTTTGCACACTAATTAATGACTTTCATATGATGAATTACAGATGCTGCCAATAGTACACCCGTGTTCTACAAATTATAATAGTTCAAACAGGTTATATTTAACTGATGATTGATGGGTTCTCTCCGTTTGCAGTCATCCAGAGCCATAATGCTGACTTTGAAGATGTCTTTGCATCATTTATTAACAGTTATGGATGGTTAGTAAGTCCTTCCCAATGGCTTGTCCAGAGTGTAAATAGTTGTAGTTCCTGATGATCACATATGAGCATATATTTTTGTCCAGAGAAGAATTTAACTTGAGGGAAAATGTAATGTATACTATAACTATTTATTTACATATTAGCTAGCTTTAATCAATTAATAGAGATTGTCTAGAGACATAAATAGTAAGAAATTATTTCACCTATACAAACTTAAATTGATATGATAAATGATAACCCAACACTAATATTTAATAAAAAGAATCTTATTAGCGACCGTTAAAGAACTGTTAGTGAGTCATTAGTAGTGATTAGAAACCCGATCCGTGCAGTGACTCGACAGGCCATCGGGTCCTGGTTCGAGCGATTTAATTTGTTTGACAGGCAGGCCAAACAGGTGTCCAAATGTTTGAAATCCAACAAAAATACCCTAAACATTATATGTAAGTCCTTATAGGTTTGAAATCCCTAAACACCATCGTTCGTGTCAGAAAATACGACCTATTTCTGGTGACGACAATCCTCCCCATCACCCCGAAAACACTCCCCTCAGCCTCCTAACCAAAACCCATCTGACCCTTCCCTTGTTAGCCTCCCCACTCGTCGGCAACAACGGGCTTTTTCCAGTGACTTTTTTTTTTTTTTTTTTTTTTTTTTTTTTTTTGTGATTTTTGATCGATTCAATCACCGAAAATCACCTTCGTCGCCACCATTCCACTCACCGACCATTTCTTTTCAAAAACCCTAACATTCCATCCTTCAATTATTCACGGATTGATGTCCTAATTTTTAGGGTTTTGAATGAATAGAAAAATTTGTAACCCACCCTAGTGAAGGCCCCAAGTCCGGTTGAATCGGCCGGGCTGGGCTGGATTCCTAATTACTGGTCATTAGAACTTACACTATTCTGACTTCATAATTATTTATTAAATAACTCATCTGTTATTTGTGTTATATCATAGGAAATTGGTACGAGCTAATTGAGAACTTGATAAATTGATTCAAATGCCCTTTCAACAGAAAGACAACTAGCATATATTTATTTACTCAGTGCATGACATTAAACTCTTCCATGTGAAGATTTCGAATCCACAACAAAAAAATTCATTAAGAAACCATTTGAGAAATTTTATTATAAATCAAAATGATGCTGGTACTGATTGGATTTGAAGTGGATGAGATTCCTTTTGTCTCTATTGCTTCATAGTATCAAAGTGGCACGGGTGCTAACTTGAACGTCATCACCAAAAGTATCTTCAAACTCTTATTCCTCGTCCTCTTCCATTGGGGCCTCGATTTGCTTAAGCCGCCGTTGAAGATTTTGAACTTGCCTCCTTAGATCGTCCATCCCTTTATCTCAACCTTCTTGCCGTGACCTTGGAGACCTCGACCGCGATACTATTCAGCCATCGATAACAAGCCTGTGCTTTGATACTAAATGATGCTAAAATAGCAACAGAGATGATTGAAACCCAAAAACAAAAAGTGATACGATAAACCACCGCTGAATTGTATCAAAATTCAGATACTGGATTAATTGAAATAATCCCAAAAGGTTCTCTATATTTTATTCAAACTATTGCCTTAAAGGCTACAAAGACCTTTATTTATACTAGAATTGAACTTAACTAGTTAAGAAAGCAATCAACCTAATAATTAAAACAAATCTTATTTTAATATGGAAAACTTTTAAAATAAGAAATCTAATTTAATTAGAATTACTAAAATAAATAAGAATATAGGAATAAGAAAGTCTAAATACGTATAAGGGAATAATATAATTTTTTTTTTCTTAAAGAGTTTTAATAATATATTTTCTGTATCATTTTCTATTCCAAATTTATTTATTTTTTTGTCATCCATAAATTATTCTTTTCGTCAATAGATAAGTTAAAAATTGAAATAAGGATCAAATCAAGTAACCTAGTGAAAATAAAATTAACATCCATTGAACCCATATTCCAATCCAACACAAATAATATTATTTAGAAAATAAAAATAAATAAATAATTGGATTTTTTGTACCTTCCCTATACTCACGAAACTGTTGTCCCACAAGAAGGTACTAAATACAATGTCAATGCCCCTCAACTCACGACTATCACTTTCGTACCAGAAGAACCGTCTTCAGCAGGATGCATGTAAGTTTGTTGTTGCAACTCTTCAAAACCAGGAATGGACTTAAAGAACATACAAATACTTTTCTCATTATAGTTGGTATATCAACCATGGTAGAAAAAGAAATTGTATACTGCTTAATCCTAAGGCTTCGGACTGAATCTTGAAGAACGCATATATATGTCTATCTTAGTCTCAGAGATTAGATTCATCACACAAACTGATCCTTTCATCTCCAACCAGAAGTAGTTCCCCCTAGCTCCCAAAAGATGTGTTGAAGTAAAGGTTTGAAATGGCACCGCATTGGAGAGTTAGTGGAATGTTGTTGTTTTTGGCTTAGCTGAGTTGGATCTTGACCGTTGATCCAACATCAATCTAACGGTTGAAATCTTACCTACAAGTCAACGGCATAAAAGGAGACTAAAATCATAATTCACCCAATTCCTCTTTCGAAGCTTTCTCTTATTGTTTCAGCTGCTCTCTGTTAGGTTTTGCCAAATTTTCAAACACTTTATTGTCTAGCGGCTTTCAACAATCAATGGTAGACAACTCATTGTTTATCAAAAGAGGTGGTAACTTCTTTATTGCTTTATTGGTTTATATAGATGACATTGTCTTAGTCTCAAATGACTCTCATCGAATTCAAGACTTCACTACATATTTGAATGCACAGTTCAAATTAAAGGACTTAGGTCCTTTTCGGTTTGGAAATTTCTAGAGCCAAAAAGGGGATTACTTTGTGTCAACGTAAATATGCTTTGGAATTGTTAAAGGATTCCTATGGATACACATATTAAATTGTCAAGATTGATGGTGAATTACTTACAGATGCAATGCAGTATCGAAGATTAATTAGACGATTGTTGTATCTAACTATCACAAGACCTGATTTGTCATATGCAGTTCAAACTCTTGGTAAATTTCTTTTTGAGCCTAGAAAACCACATTGGAATGCTGTTATAAGAGTTCTTCAGTACATCAAACTTGCTCTAGCACAAGGGCTATTTTATTCTTGTCAATCACAAATGCATCTGAAAGGGTTTTCTGATTCAGATTGGGCAGGTTGTACTGACACAAGTGATCAATCGCAGGGACATGTATTTTTCTTGGGAATTCTCTTATTTCATGGAAATCGAAAAAGCAAAATACTGTCTCTAGATCTTCCGCTAAAGCAGAATATAGAGCAATGAGTTCTACTGCATCTGAATTAGTATGGTTGCTGCAACTACTTAGGGATTTATCAATTGAGCATTCTTGTTGATGTTTATGTAATGGAGTTTAACAAAGAGAAGAAAGAGAGCTGAACTGAATGAAGAGAGTTACGTTTTCTGCATTTCAAAATGTGTTTTCATTACAGCTAATGAAGCAAAGTTTTACATTGACTTATACCTACTTTGCAGACATATAATAACTTAAATTAATCTAAAGCCACATACTTATATCAACTAACAGCTACTGCATCAGAACATCCCTTACAATTTGGAATGCGTATCACACTTTTACAAAATGAGCTAAACATACAGTATATCAAATAGACCCCTGGTAGACTTCAGTTCAGGTTTTGCCGCCAACACACATTCAAAAACTTTAACTAAATTGCTGTATTTTCGGCCATGCATCAACGTTCAACACTCCTCCTTGATGGTTGGCTGGAAACACCAAGTCTGAATCTGAATTCTTCAAACTTAGCTTTGGAGACAACTTTGGTCATAATGTCAACCACTTGCAATTCACTCCTGCAATGCACCAGTTTCAATTCACCATTTTACTCAGCCTTTCTCACTGTATGGAACTTTATTTTTATATGCTTTGTGTGTCCATGTTGCATAGGATTCTTGGCCATAGCTACTGCAGATTGATTGTCACACATGATGGCAGTAGCTTTGTTCTATTTCAGCTTCAAATCATCAAGGACTTTTCTCAACCAAATGGCTTGATTCACAGCTGCAACAGCTGATATATACTCTACTTCAGCTGTGGATTGGGCCATGGTTTCCTGCTTCTTGGAAAGCCAGCAGATAGCACCATGATTCAGGAAAAATGTAAATCCTGAAGTGCTCCTTATATCATCTATCGAACCAGCCCAATCGCTATTCGAATAACCAACTAAGCTGAAGTCTTCTGATCTCTTGAACCACACCCCATAATCAGTGCTTTCTTTTACATAGCTCAGCACCCTTTTTGCTGTTTTGAAGTGTGTTTTAGTTGGTTTACTTATAAACCTGGACAGCAAACTGGTTGCATACATCAAATCCGGCCTAGTTGCTGTCAAATACAGTAGACACCCTATTAAACTCCTGTACAATCCTTCATCAACCTTCTCACCATCCTCATCCTTTGACAGCTTTAAGTTTGGAACCAAAGGTAGATTTACTGGTTTGCGGTTTTCCATGCAGAACTTTTTCAAAACTTCACTTGCATACCTTTTTTGATTCACAAAGATCCCATCCACTTGTTGATCAATCTCCATTCAGTCAGTCTTTTCAAACTCACTTTGCATGGATTTCTTGAATTCATCCACTTGAGTTTGATTGCTCCCAATTACTAAAAGATCATCCACATACAATGAAATGATCATCAAGTCATCTTTAGCTTCTCTAATGTATAGAGTGTGTTCATTTGGACTCCTAACAAAATCCAAGTTTAGTAGGTGGTCATTAATCCTGCTGTACCAGGCCCTTGGAGCCTGTTTTAGGCCATACAAGGCCTTCCTCAGCAAATACACCTTTCCCTCTTATCCTTGGATCACATACCCTTCAAGTTGTTCAATGTAGATTTCCTCATTCAACCAGCCATTCAAGAAGGCAGATTTTACATCCATTTGGTACACTTTCCAAGAGAATTGAGCAGCCACTGCAAGTAGCAACCTAATGGTGTCATGTAATATCCCACTTGAGGTACGTATTTAAGATTTGTTGTATTAGTTAAAAGTTTATTGTTTCAACTTTAATTGAGTTTGTATGTTGAGTTGATTGAATTGTTGCCTTGAAATTGGTTGAGTTTTGGTGAAGTTGGAAATCCAATCTTCGCCGGGGCGAAGGAGAAGCTTCGCCGCAGCAAGGGAGGAGAGTGGACCCACGGGTAGGTTCTGCCCTGTTTCGCCGAGGCGACGTAAAGTTTTTCGCCGCGGCGACGAGCCTAAGACAAAGTTTCTTGAGTTTTCTAGAGAATTCTTCTTTTGGGGCACAATGACCATTCTACCCCTAATTAGTAGGAAAAGTGGGGAGTAAAATGAAAGGAAATTTAGTAGAGATTGTGTTTGGATGGGGGTGTATTTGTAAAGAATCAAAGGATATAGATGGAATTTCCAAGGAAGAGCAAGGGCAAAATGGGAAATGATGCTTATAATATGAACTAAAAAGGGTTAAGTGTAGAGAAACCCTTTATTTCTTCATTCCACCGCCTCTTCCATTTGCCCACTTTCTCTCAATTTCTCCATCCAATCTTCCAAGATTTCTAAGGGATTTAAGAGGGGTTTTGAGTAGAGATTTCATCTAAAGCATCCTAAGGTAAGGATTCATGCTTTAGATGTGAGTTTTCTTATAATTGTAGTGAAGTCTTATTTGGTTGTTGCTGTCCTTGTGGTTGTTTTGAGTTGTAGAGAAGAGACAAGTCCACAAAGGGAAGAAAAAGTGCTAAAGAAGTCATCTTTGCACAAGGTAAGTAAATCCTACCAACTTGAGTTTTGTATAAGTTTTTGTGTAGAGATGTATGCATAATCAGTATATAGTATGATCAATGAGAAATTGAGTTGAGATGAGTAACTATTTTGTAGTTGTTGGATAGATTCCATGTATGAGAAGTGTTTTATTGTGTATTGAGAAATGAAACTTGAGATGAAGTTTGAGAGATGTGGTGTAAACCTTTTTGGAAGTGCTTTTCTTGATAGGGAATTATGGTTGTTAGAGGGAGTTTTCCCCCATTTTGGATGGCTAGAGAATGAAGTATAGTAGTAATTTTAGTATAGTCTTTATATGCACATGAGTTGTTTGATGAAATGCCTAAGTGAAATCTGTCCTGTCACTGCCGTAACTTTCTAAGTAATTTTTGGGCATCTTACGGTTTGAACTAGGCTAAGACCAAAACATCAAAGATGTAGCCCTGTTTCTAAGCTTTAAAATGAGACCAAAACCGTGGTAATCAGAGGTGTATAAAAAAATTTATGGTCTTTTTAGTGTGACCTGTGCAGAATGACGGTTTTGAGGAAATCTTGTAGTTGGCATTTCATTAGTGCATTAGGGAGCATGAGCTAGCTCTACACCTTTGTTTATACACTTGAGAAGTAGCTTGAGATTTAGTAGAGAATTTGAGTATAAGCTACTTTAAGGGTTAAGAGAAAGAGAATAGAGTAGGTTGTGCGATGGGGAACCCGTGAGTAATGGGTAGAGTATTCCCGCATGTACGCCGCATTGAGAGAGCGGCATGAGTATTAGATAGAGAAGTGTTGTAGCCCGTGAGAGTGCATGCGGATGAGGGCTATACCCGAGTACCTGAGAGAGAGATTATACACTCACATGGCCAAGGGTTCCGAATCCATGCATAACCGAGTCCGATCGGCTAGAATGAGCAGAGGTCACGTAGAGTGGGAGCGAGACCCGGCCGTGCCCCCGGTAAGATGGGGCCGCGAATTACTAAAGAGAGTTACTAGAAAAGAGTTTTAAGAGAAAGAGAAAAAGAAAGAGAGAGAGAGAAGTACCAAAGAGAAATTGAATGAGAAGTTGTAAGGAAAGAATTAGAGAGAGAGTTACGGGGATAGATGAGTAGAGGATTTACTTACTGAGCATCATTTTAGTGCTCACTCGTTGTTTTTCCTATGTTTTGCAGGACCTAGGTGAGGACATTGTTGGATGGATGTCGGCGTTCGAGAAGAAGCGGTTACACTGTCCCTTATGTTTTTGATGACTTTTTTATATGTTATACATTTGGTGTAAAAATGTATATGTTTGTAAAGAATATATATATATTTAATAAAAAGAAAATTTTGGGCCCAATTTCTTTATGTTATTTTTATGTATTTCATTATAAGCTTTTGAGTAGTAGTGGCTATTACATGTCATGTCGTGCAAGAGGAGTAAATGTCTCCAGGAAATCCACTCCATATTGCTGAGCAAATCCCTTAACTACAAGCCTGCCTTATGCTTCAGAATTGACCCATCCAGATTCAGCTTTTTTCTGAAAATCCATTTCATCTGAATATCCTTTCTGTTTTCTGGTCTGTCCACCAGCTTCCAGGTTTGGTTTTTTTCAATCATGGTAAGCTCCTCCTTCGTCGAAATCCTATAGGACTTTGATTGTGCAGCCTCTAAATAACTTGTAGGTTCCATTTGTGCTAAGTTGCACCTGTCATACACATCAGCTAGTGTTCTGGTTCCCCTAATAGCAGCTTCTTCTTCTGATTCCTCCCCTGAATCTTCTTCAATTTGATCAGGTTGAACCTCACTCAGTTGAGGTTGTGTACCCTTTTCCCAGTTCCAGACTCCTCTCTCATCAACCTCGACATCCCGGGACACCACCATTTTCCTAGAGTCAGGAATATAAATCTTGTAGGCCTTGGATTGGCTGCTGTAGCCAATAAATATTCCAGTCACAACCTTATCCTCCAGCTTAGTCCTCTTTGTAGATGGCACTAGGACGTAGCAAAGGCTTCCAACAATCTTCAGTTCATCCATTGCTGGTCTGACTCCAGTCCAAGCTTCACAAGGTGTTTGGTTTTTTAAGGCTTTGGTGGGAATTCTGTTGAGTAGGTAGACACTTGTGTTTGCTGCTTCTGCCCAAAATGGTTTGGGGAGTTTTTTCTCAGCCATTAAGCATCTTGCCATTTCCATGACTGTCCTGTTTCTCCTCTCACAAACTCCATTCTGTTGTGGGGTGTATGGGCTGCTGAATTCATGTCTTATTCCAGCTTTAGTGTAGATTTTTTTAAACTCTTGAGAAGTGTATTCAGTACCATTATCACTTCTTAAGGTTTTGATGGATTTTTCTGTCAAATTTTCTACTTCTAGTTTGAATTTTCTGAATGTTCCAGCCACCTCATTTTTCTGTCTTAGGAAGTAAATCCACCCCATCCTAGACCAATCATCTATGAACAATACAAAGTACTTGCTCTGATTGAGTGATAAGGTTTGCATGGGGCCACATACATCTGAGTGAACAAGCTAGAGTTTTTCAGAGGCTTTCCAAGCTTGGTTCACTGGGAATGGTTTCCTACTCATCTTACCTAGTTGACACACTTTGCACACACCTCTTGGCTGCTCAACAATAGGCAGATTCTGGACTAGATTTTTAGACTGCATTTCACTCAAATTTCTATAGTGTACATGGCCTAATCTCTTGTGCCACATCTCAGTTTCATCCTCTCTAACATTGCATGCTGTGTGTGGTGTAACTTTCCACATTATTGGAAAGCTTTCCCTACCATTTTCACTCTCAAAATCTCATTACCCTCACTGTCTTGAATAATGCAGGATTGTTTTTGAAAATGCAGTGCATGATTCCTTTCCAACATTTGTCCCACACTCAAAAGACTTTGACTTATATTAAGTGCATAAAGTACATTTAAGATTAGCTTTGTACCTTTTGGAGTTTGGATTGCAACATCTCCCTTGCCTCTTGCTTCCACACACTCTCCATTCCCAACTTTAATCTTTGATCGATGAGAGTGATCTATATTCACAAAGCAGCTCAAGTCTGGTGTCATGCGATGTGTGCACCCACTGTCAATTAACCATGTATCATCACAGGTTTGGACCAGATTTGATGAGGCCACAAACAGCTGTTTTGTCTCCTACACTGGCTGTTGTTCATCAGTTGTTTGAGCTTGCTGTTGGGACTGCTCTCCCTTGTTTTTGCACACTCTTTCAACATGGCCAAACTGCTTGCAGGCCCTACATTGTATGCCAGGTCTGAACTAGCATTTGTGCTCTGCATGTCCCTTTCTTTTGCAATGAGAATAGGCCGAAAAACTCTTCATCCCACTAGTTTTGTTCCATTGGTTATTAGCCCTTTCTTTTCCTCTTTTTTCTCTAGCAAACTTCCTGCAATTCCCTTGTCCAGTCTTGCCCTTATAAGTTACTAACATTGCCCCTTCATTTGCATCTTCTAACCTTAGGAGCCTTCTTTGCTCTTGCGCCTGCAGAGCATGGAACAACTCAGTCAATGTGATCTGAGTCAGGTCCTTTGAGTCCTCCAACGATGAGATCTTGGCTTCAAACCTTTCTGGCAAGCTTACCACTACCTTATCCACTATTCTGCTGTCCAACATTTCCACCTCAAGTAATCTGATCTTGTTGACAACATTCATCAACCTGTCAACATATTCTTTTACTTTCTCAGCCTCTTGCATCCTTAAAGTTTCGAACTCCCTTCTCAAATTCAAAACCTGCATATTTCTTATAGTGTCACTTCCCATGAACTCTTCCCTCAACTTGTCCCATGATTCCTTGGCTGTTTTGCATGCCATAATCCTTGTGA